AAAGATTTGAAAAAGCTGGGGATACACCAGAAATAGGTAACACTTCTGGAAATATATATAGCAAGTGTCCTTGGGTAGATGGTGTTTTGCAGTTGTGCTCTTCATCAGAGGATTTTGTTCAAAGTAGTTGAGCATTGTCTCAAGAAGCAAGGGAGAAGGGAGATGTGGGATTAAGTGTCTGTATTGAAGCTGGACCTAGGAAAGTGGTTTAAGTTGAATTTTGCCTTTGAATTTAAAAAAAAAAATGAAAACAAAATGAAGAGGCAAGTTCAAGTGTAGCGTTTAAACACTGGTGTTTTAAAGATGATTAAAGGCTGTGTTTTAAGGCTTTGGAAATGATTAGTGGAAAGTCTGCAGTCTATACTGGTGCATTTTTTTGTTTGTTCGTTTGTTTTTGTTAGGATTTGTAATCCCTGTTCCTAAATTTCAGATGCACTGAAGGTCTCCAGTACAGAATATACTGAGCACATTTTCAGAAGAAGCTTTTCTTCTCCTCCTTCTTCTGGGTCAGCAGAGGTTCCTGGTAAGAAATTCTTGGGAAAATTGGGGTATATAATATATGTAATCATATGGGATCTCATCTTCAGGTAATACTGTTTCCTAAATCATGAAACTCCAGTCAGACATTTATTTTTTTTTGGAGTAGCCAATGAGTTTCTCCCTAAAAGCATTCCTTTGCTGCCCACATCTGCAACGGTGAGCATGCCGTAATTGGGCTATTGAGCATCCTGCACCAAGAGCAGTATCACTGAAATAAATCATCTGAAAAATAAAAGTAAAAAAATGACGTACTTGGCTGATTGTCTCAGAGAGTACAGAACAAAACTTTGTTACTTTGAATGGAAGGCTTTTTTCAAAGGGTAGTAAGAGTGATTTATCACAGAATGTTCCAAGATGCTTATGAGGCTGAGCCGTTTTGAGACTGACATTCTCTTCAGTGACCTTCAGACATCTCCAATTTGCATGTCGTCTTCTGAACCATATGTTGAGGTGTAGAGAATATCTTGACTTTTTGGTTGCATCATAGAAGGATCTAGAAGTCATACGAAGTTTTATCGGAGGAATAAAGGTATCCCAGATCCATTAAAAGATAAAGGTCTTGCTTACCTAAACTGTTAATTAGTTTAGAATAAGGATTAGAGGAGACAGGCAGAGCAGGATGGTTTTCCTTGAAGCTCTCTGACACTTCTTGCTGTTGAGTTAATGGCGTATATAGAAGAGAGGTATGGGCAGAGGATTCTCTTACATTTTTGTTTTTTAACAATGGAAAATTATTTTTCTTCATTAGTTTCTGCTATGTGAATGTAAAATATCACAGTTATAATTTTTGATAACTTCTGTGTTTACTGGTCAGAGGAATGGATATGAACAGAACTGAATTTTGGCTAGTGATAAATGAAACCATTTGTCTGAGCCAGGGAAACATGAAGGGAAAATATTAGCAATGCATGTGGGGTTTGACTTTATAGGCTGTAGGTTACTGTTTTGCTTGCTTGTTTGTTTTTTGCTATCCGTTATTTTTTCCACTAAATAAATACTGTAGTTCAATATGATCTGCCAGTGCAGCCCTGCAGCATTTCAAAGGTAGTGTCTGTGCATGTTTTCAGAGCCTCTTTGTGGAAGCATCTCTGCGTATTTAACAGTGATTCTATCTGTTTGTCCTTCCTAATTGGGTAATTCTGATTTGCCTCAGTTAAGAGCTGACTTCTGCTCATAGTAGTGAGGCTTTGGTCACCATTTGGCTTGTACAGAAAGTATCTTGATGTCCTGAGTAAAAAAAATCAAGATCTTGTCCCACTACCAGGCTTAGTACTCAGGCTTCATGGAGATACTGATTAGATTGGTCATTGATTGGGAGAAAGAAATGAATCATACGGATGCTGCTATTTCAGCATCTTAGTCTCACTTGGCTGGTTGGAATGGACAAAACTTGCCAAAAATAGCTTTGAAGAAAACCTTACCGCTTCTAGGGCTGGCGTGTGAATTGTATTTTTCTTTTGTACGACTATCCACCATGAAATACAGCAGCTGCAGGCTGTGAGAGTACGTGATGAAATATGAACCTGCCAGGTCATGCTAGTCCCCTTTAAGCACGCTAACCCCTTAGGTGAAGAAAGGTAATGGGACCGTGTAGAATATCTGGGCTGGTGGATGACCAAGGTGGGTCTTTTAATGTGCAGCAACTCCCTTGTTCTTTCTGGAGATGAGCATTCCCAACTTGATTCCTGCAGGTGAAGTAGCAGTTATCTATTTTTGTCAAGAGATAAGCTGATTTTTCTCATTCGAACCCCAAACTACAGCCTATGTGCAGGGCGATAGGACCCCCTGCACGAGGAGGCACAGGTAAAGTGCTTAGAAGGAAGGAGGCAGCTGGAGCCCTGCCAGTGAGGGTGCCGGGTGCCGCCGCTTTGGCAGCTCTTCCACAGCCGCAGTGTGTGGGATACCGGCGCGCCTGTGTTCAGCAAATGGGCTCGCATCCTGCTCGAGTTTCCAACTGCCTTCTGTTCCTTTGAGTCAACAGTTCTAGTTAAAGCTTGTTCTGCTGTATCCTTTCTAATTCTCATTTCAGCAACAAGACAGTTTAATTAATCACTGTGTGGGAAGCTTATATCTACAGATTGAGATAAAGACTTCTAATTTGAACAGAAGTCTAACAGACATAAACTTTTGCTCTTAGACTGCCTCTTCTTCCCTCTCTGACTTTTAATATGCAGAGCTGTGCAGAGGATGCTTGTCATGCCCATGTGCCCGTGATCAGGTTATTTTTAGGTTGAACCTGGTGAGCGTATGTTTAGACTTAAAATGCACTTGGTGTATTGGGGTTTAGTAATTATGCTGACACTGATCTGTGCGATAGTATAATTGATAGGTAGTTAAGTTAGCCCACACAGAGTATTGTGCTGCTATTTCCAGTTTCTAGGCTTTTTGTTACTTACAGCGAATTTGGGAAGTTCCAAATTGCTGTGGGTTTATATATACACACACACACGCACACGTGTGTGTATATATGTATAAAATTTAGCTAGTAGCATAAGATACATTTGTTTGGTTCTGTGGTTGGAGGTTTTGCTGATAATAATGTGGAGGGTGATCACTGAAAAAATTTATGACTCCATTGGCACTTGTAGATTTAATATGTATAAAGACGTGTCCTCACTTTTAGATACAGTGGGAAAGTGGAAGTGCTATTATTTAGGTCTGAATCCCTGGGACAGTGGGATTTTTGCCCTTGACAGAGCTAGAAGAGAATAGGGGTCAAGCTCTGTCAGATATAGAACTATATTTTTAAATTTAATGAGCAAGTAATATTTTCATCTGTTCATATTAAACAAAGATAAATATAGGGCAACTCCATACTTCCAAAAACTAACTTCCCAAAAATCAAGGGAATTTTAAACAAGTGTGTGTGTGTGTGTGTGTGTGTTGGGGAGTGATCCAGAGTTTAAAACCTGAGAGCTGTTTCGATGTTCATTAGGTGACCAGATTCAGGAGTCAAGAAAGAACAGTAGTAATGGAAGAAAAAAAAAAAAGGCATAATGGAGAAAGCTTGAAATCTTCTGAAAGCAATATATATTTTTATAGGTATATTGCACATAGAAACACAATAAAATGTCTGTAGGTTATATCTATAAATTGGGATTGCAATCTCTGCATCATTCTTAACTTGGTGAAACAGTTAAATATTTCTGTGATGAATTTGCACATCATGAGACTGAAGTGCAAAAATCCTATTCAAAATAATTAAATAAGAGTTGTTTCCCAGTTATGTCTTGGTAATTAATTATCTCAGATAAGTTCCCAAAAGATGAATGGGATTACCAGGGAGCTGTAATTTTGAGATATATTAAAGAAATAACAAGATAGGAGAAGTACAGAATAGAAGTTCTTGGTGACTTTAAATAAGTGAATTGAATAGGTGAGATCTGTAAGAAAATATGTTTATGTATTTCTGTGTGCATGAAGCACTTCGAGCAGGTTGGATGAAAGACTTGAGACAATTTTGGGGAATAGCAGGGAGCAGGGCAAATGCCTTCCAGGGAGGGGCTCTAGGAAGTCCCTGAACACCATATTCTCCTATGGAATCTCTTGATGTGCATCAGGTCTGAAGAGGTTCTTTGATTTAGGGGAGTAAAGGTTAATTAGAATAATGTTCAGTGCGATAGACTTGCTTTCTCCTGACAGTCTTCAAATCTAGAACGACTGTCTCTTGTCTAGCCCCAAATAGTTACTGACCTCAGTACAAGAGTGGCTGTGTGAATCGTGGGACTTGCTGTATACATAAAGTCAGATGAGATGGTTTAAAATTCCTGTCAGATTTTCCAGATCAAACAGAATCCAAGAATGCCACTTTCTATTTAGTCATAAGCTTTAGAAAGAAAGAAGAAATATTGCTAGAGTTTGTGTACCTTTGGTTGTCTGAGATAAACTAATAATGGAAATGATTTAAAAAAATAAAGATTTTCATCTTGCTTGTAGGTAATTCCAGCGGTGCTAAGTCAGACATGGACATGGCCTATGAAAGAGCCAGGGTTCACTTTGGCTCGGAGGACACTGGCAGCAGCCCAGCGGGGAGCAAGGTAGGTCGGCCCTGTTGGAGATTCCAGTGTCTTCCTTGTGCTGTACTTTACCCATGCTTATTCTCTGAGTGATCTGAATGGTTCCTTTGAATGATTTCTCTCTTCGAAACTTTGCCCTTGCAGTTACTCAGCCCTGCATGAGTTGTGATGACTGGTAGTCTTCCATGGTCTGTTTAAACTTTTAATTGTTTAAGTAGAATTCAGTGATTTCACTTTTCAGTGAAAAGCTTGAAACTCTGGAGACTTCCATGGCAAGCAATAGCAAAACATGTGCTGCAGCTTCTTGGTTTTAGATACTATGTTCCTATGACATGTAAAAAAAAAAATTAATTGGAAATGTGAATTTGTTAAATTTTATTTGTGAGAACTGCTTTACGGCAAGGAAATCAAAATTTATATCTATCTGCAAACTTTCCAGATGGGTTTTCAGCCATGAATTATGAATCTGCATTTCTTTCTGGCGTGTTTTTTATGAAGACCAACCTGAAAGTTCAGAGCAAAAAACTTGCAATTGAACCCAAAATCTGAAGAGAAACTGGCTCAGTAGTTGTCCTCAATAGACATTTAGTCTTTCTCCTCATTTGTGTACTTCACTGTTTTGATTGAGTTCCAGTTCTATCAAGTTGGCAGCCGCCCAGTTTGTGAAAAGTCTTATTTTTCTGCTCTGTGATCTGTGATGAGTAACTATGACATGACTGTCAAGTACTGCAGAAAAATACCCAGCTAATGAAGTTAGTGAGTTGTTGTCTTTTTGGAAACGCACCTTTTTGTTTTTAGGGACACCAGTTGTGGTGAATGGGAGAACACAGATGGTAACTGCCAAGTTTTGCTGGGCAGCTGCCAATTACAATGTGCAAAAATGACACTTGTTTTTTCTGTTCTTTGCAGTCGATATTGAAGAAGACTGTGACGGTGACAGAAACTCCTTCAGCAGTTTTCCATTATACTGATCGTGAGCTTGCTGTGCAAGACTCCTCTAATAGTAAACCCATTGATGCCATCTTTGAGGCAGCAAAGAAAGACCTTTCAACCTTGATGAAACTTGATGTAAGTTATCACAGGAAAAAAATGCAATCCTCCTTTTCACTCTTCATCTCATTCTGCTGAGCACAAAAAAGTGAATTGTCTCCCTAATACATCGTAGACTAGCTGAATGCTTTATTCCCTAGTCTGTTCAAGTTATCACAAGGACTAAAATAAATCTGAATTATTCTGCCATTTGAAAAGACTGTGCTGAAATGCACTGCATGAATCTTTTCTTGCTTAGTACAGACTTGTCGCTGTGAGAAGGAAGTCTACAATTCTGGGTGCATTATAATTTCAGGCTCTTGCTCAGTGTGAAGAAGTTTTTATGTAATGGCATTGAGGTGATGGCTGAATTGATTAATGCCATGGGCATAGCATCCAAATACCTCATTGGATTTCAGAACTGAATATGTGTATTTGAGTCCTGGCTGTGTCTGCCATCTTGGATGCTTTGTGCGTAACAGCCGCCACTGATGAATTTGGCCCTTGCATCTCCCTTTTGATATATGAACGTGGAGTACAGAAGGTGCCACATGTCCCTCTTTCTTAAGCATGCTGCAAAGAGGAATATAACTGATTTTTAGGTGTTTTTTTTTTTTTTTTTTAATTCCCTATAAATGCAACTGCATTTCATTACACTGCTTCAGAGGTGTATCTGGTCATGCAACTAATCACGCAGTTTGGAAAGACTGCATTCAGGTCAGCCGCAGAGGTTGGCTGGCGTTTCAATAATTGAAGCCTGGCGTTTCAATAATTGAAGCCTGTTGATGCTGTCAGAACCTTGGCCCAGCTGCTGCAGTCTTTCTCTGGCGTAAGGACTGTCACCAAATAACTTTGCTTTCCTGGTAGCTAGAACTTTAAAAGACTTTGCTTTTGGATTCTCATAGTCCTGATTTCCGACTTATTTCCACTGCAGCTTCAAACTCCTAATCGTGATCTTTCAGCTGCAAACAGTGAGGCTCTAACTACGTGCCCCCTGCTGCTGCTTTAACTAAGGCATGTGGTACTGCCTCTTAATCCGTGGCAGGCGACTGCCTGGGTGCATTCACTTTCAGTTCCTCAGGCATTTATATCAGTCTGAAATGCTACAGCCTATTTTAGAAGAAATTCTCATTGCAGATGGAGTAAAATGGGACTATGTATCTGTTCTGTTCTGCCTTCTGTTCGTGGTAAGACTGGCCTCGGACTTCTTGGCTTGTGACAAGAGTTTGTAAAAAGGATGCAGCTGATGGTTTCCTTTTTAACCCTCTTGAATCACAAGCCAAAAGAAAGAAAAGCCAAGATCTCTGAAGATACCAATTACATAATGCTCTTTGAATCTAGAATAAATTCCCAGTAATTAAGAAGTAAGCAGATTGATTAATCAGAGTGTATCATTGAAGTGCAACCTTAAAAATGCTGCCTTAAGAGCCATTTTTTTTTTTTACACAGAAAATCTTAAAAATGCAGTAAGATAAGCTTTTCAAACACTGATATTACTGCAGCCCATTTTTTTCAGAAGATAATGAGAATCTAGTGAAATGTAGCGATTTTACTTTGAAGATTAATGTTAATTTCTTCTATAGCAAAAGTTGATCTTTCTACAGGCGAAGGAATGGAGCTTATTGTTTAAAATATTTATATGTAGTACTGATTACCTCCAAAGAAGAAAATGAATTCTGTAAGAATTTCTCTTTAAAAACTATCTTTTATTCTTAGCTGACGAGGCGTTTGAAGGTGTTATTTTTTTAGGCCAGCCAATCAGTGTGAGTAAAGTCTGGGCATTTTCCTGGCAGATAGTGTTCTGGTCATGACACCCAGACAGACACAGAGGAGAGAATAACTTATTAGCAGTATTATTTTGAATGACACTTAGGTACCTGACTCAAATATATATTTTTTTCTTTGTTACATATAACTCGAATTCCTTAGTTTCCTTGAATTCAATCATGGACTGTTTTCAGTCTGTTCAGTTTTCAGTCTGAAATAGCTTACATCTCGGCTTTATCTGCAGTTTTGATGAAAGCTGAGCAGTGTTGAAGGGCATCTCCTCTAAGAGTTATAATGCAACTGAAACACTTTATTTTCAACTGAAAATTATTTGTCCTGGGTAATTGCTACTCCTGTTTATCATTTTGTATTTTACCTCTGCACCACAGACATCTGCTAATTTATTATCCTATATATTACAATAACATAAAGAAAACTTGCTGTGAAAATGGCTCTGTTGTAGTGCCAACTGTTTATTTAAAAGCTAGTTGTTGGAGGGGAGGTCAGTGCAAGAACCATTCTCTGGCTCAAACCCTGTGACTGTGCAATGCTGAATTTGAGGTTGCCTCACGCCGGCTTGAGAAAGAAGGTACTAGACAAGATGGGTCTTGATCTTCTTTGTCAGTCCTTGTATTATTTAATCAAGGTAATACTAACATAGAAATGTAGGACTTCAAGGACTGCATAGAGGTCACTTAGTCTCTTTTCATGCCCAAGGCAGAAGCAAATATTTCTGAGTGGTTCCCTGCAGGGTTTTTGTCTAAGCTGCTATTAAAGCTCTCTTCACAGCTCTGTGTGCAATCTATTCTCAGTGCCCATGTTGTCTTAGACATCAAAAAATACTTCTCACAATGTTTCTGGTACTAACATAGCCAAAAATCTGTGATGGTTTATGAGCAGACCTGCTAGAAAACTTGTTTGTTTTTTGTTGTTGTTCTTGTTGGTTACTTTTGTAAATAGAACTTTTTCTTTAAGTATGGGTAATGTATGCAATTACAAATACATAAGTACAGGAAATAAATCACAGAAGTTAACTGAGTTGATATTACAGAACTGCAATATTTTGACAGGTGCTTGTCAGGTTCTTCACATTGGATATGTTCCCATGAAACAGATTGGTTTCAATAAAACTACCTTTTTTTTTTTTTTGCTGAAAAATCTGTTCTTTTTAACAGCTGTAGGTGTAAAGAATAATTTTGATTTTTCTAATTGCTCTATTCCATTTTTTCAACTGAAGTAGAGGGAAAACTAGTATAGCATTAAAAATGTTTTTCTCTCTGCTATCGTGTTTTCCTGCTGCAATAAGATTAATGACTAAAGGCAAATTCTTCTATGGCTGATTGCATTAGATTGTATATTACTGTGCACATAGCTCTTTAAGTTGCTTTATTTCTGCGGTGTGAAATACTGATAGATGTGACTGAAGTGTTGGGCTTTGCCTTCCAGGTTAAGCTGTGAGACATGGGCACTGCTCCACTACTGTTTAGCATCAAGCAAGAGCCACATAACTGAGTCTGGGGTTTTGGCCCATTTTTTAAGATGCTGTTAGTAAAATCTCCTGCTTTTGGAGGCCGACCAATTTGGATGGGCTGGAGCCTCTTGCCCAAGAGTAGTTTTTGGGTTCCTTATGATGTGCTTTGAAGCACACATTTATTAATGACTGCATGTGAGGTACAGAGTTTTCTGGGCAGTGCTTTAAGATAAGCCAGAAAATTCTGTCTTTGTCACGTATTCAGGATTATATCAGTGGAGTTGGGAAGGAATTTTCTGCACACCAGCTCGGTAGGAGCTTTAGTATTTTCTTCTGCTGTCTGCCTCATGAGGATGGCTTTTCTTTTTAAAATCAGTTGATGTGCTCAGCCTGATAGTCCCTTAGCCTTGCTAGGGGTGAGGACCTAACTTCCAAACTGAGGGCAGATCCTTGGCTATCCTCCTTCCTAGGTGCTCTTAAAATTTAGGAGGCAAATGCCCACGATGCTGGGTGGTTCGTGTGTGTGCTGCTTGTTTTTGGAAAGCCTTTGGTCTATAGCTCATGTGAAAATCTGCTCCTTGTCACACAAATCTGTGCTGTGGACAAGAGAAGAACTGTGCTAAAGAAAATGTTGGATTTTCTTTCCTCTCCCCTTTTCCGCTCTCCCCCTCCTCTCCCCTTTTCCGCTCTCCCCCTCCTCTCCCCTTTTCCGCTCTCCCCCTCACTTTGTTTTTCATGACTTTAGAGACCTGAAATGTTGACTGAACTTTCATGGCACACGACATAGGATGGTCTCTGTTTATTATATACGTTTAGAGTCTAGACGGAATTGACCAATTTTGCTCAGGCAAAAGGTTAATTTTTTTTTTCACAGGAAGGAAAAGAAATACAAGAATTATGTACCACGTTTTAAAGAGATCTGCCTATCTTACAATGTTGTCTTTGTACTTGTAACATTGTCTTTGAATAATAATTTCATTTGCTTTGTCTGAACCCTTCTTCACATATCAGACCTGCTTGTGTGTACTGGTAAGTAAATTGTATTCCCCCTACTCCTTCTGATACAGGATCCTTTGCTGCTGAATGGTAAAGTGACACTGCATCAGGTTACTGCTGGGACTGTGGTATCAAGGCAGGGAGATCAGGTGAGTGTCATCTGAGTGTGAAGAGAGATAAGTGGTGTCTGTGTGGTGTGTGTGTGTGTGGGGTGGTTTCCCCCCCCCCCCCCCCCCTCTAACTGCCTATAAGGAATGTATCTTAACGAATATGTCCACCTGCTTTTCATGTATACTGAGATACTCAGCCTCTGCAAGATGCTATAGGATGTATTTCCACAGTGTAGCTAAATACTGCACAAAGGACCTCCTCCTTCTGTTGGCTTTTGTATCTTATGAGCTGATTTTTGTCCTCTGTTTTCCGTGCTGGAAGACACAACAGTTGTGCCATATCCATCTTCTCTATGCCACTCGTGCCTATGACTCCTCCCCATGTCCTAAGACATCTCTTTTCCAGACCAGCAAGTCTAGTCTTTGGAAAAACTTGTTCTAACCCACAAGACTCGCAGTATTATTAATGCAGTATTTTTTCCTTGTGCAATGGAAATCCAATGTTATTTGTTTATAGCAAAATATATTTTGATTATAGCCTAAGTGCACTTTTTTAGAACAGGATTCATTTATAATACTATGAGATAACCGGAAAAGCTTATGCAAAGCAGGTAAGGGCAGCTCCAATTACAATTTTACTGTAGTTTGCTGTAGTGCAGTATCCCTCATCAGTGCTACTCTGATTATCCTGTCATCTCTGCAGTTCTGTCCTTATTTTCTGAAGTCTTACAGTTGGAGCCTTTTGTTTGTTCAGAACCATGAGAAGAGAAACACGATTTTTCAGTGTTTTGTCTGCTTAGTTTTAAATATTCATAACCTGCTTTTAATAATTCACCATTGTGCTTTATTTTATTGCTTAATCATTTAAAGACTATGGAGACCTTTCTGGCAAACAGATTGGCTGTGATATCATGGTAATAACTGCTTTCAAAACAGTGGGGATTTTATTGAGCTCTGTCTGTGTCTTCTCCAGGATGTTAATGTTTGCTTTGTGATCTCGGGGATGCTCCATGTGTACCAGCGGAAGATTGACTCTGAGGAGGACACCTGTCTCTTCATCACCCATCCAGGAGAGCTTGTTGGCCAGCTGGCTGTGCTTACTGGGGAGCCGCTGATTTTCACCATCAAGGCCAATCGGGACTGCAGCTTCCTGTCTATTTCCAAGTCTCATTTCTATGAGTGAGTTTTGCCATGGGAATATTTATTTATTTTTATGACCTTTCTGAGCAAGAGTGGTGTAGCATTGCTGGAGTGCATCTCCTCACAAATGAGGTAACTTGCAGGAGGATTTTAAGCATCCAGATGAGCTGAAGTCACTTATAAATGATTTTATCTCCAGCAAGAGGTAATGCAATGAATGTGATAATACTGAAAAGACAATTGTCACTTTTTTCCAGGTTTATAGAGCACTTAGCCCTGTGAGGACTGATTTATGGCCAACATCCATACACACAGTCATAATTTAAATAATAAAATGCTGGCTGGAACCCATGCTTAATTTAAGTGTGTTTTTTATTTTAAATTTTTTTGGTCAGGCCCTTTCTCTTAAACTCATTACTTGTTTTTACTGGAGAGCTTCCTCGGTTCTCCTTCCAGCCATAGTGGAGTTAATTGGTGAAGGCTGTTGTGATCCATTGGGAACAATCAGTCTTAATGGAACCATAGGTTTTTCACTCTAACAGCAGAGACTGAAGAAGAATAATGCCTCTTGGCGAGACGGATTCCTTTCTTGACCCTGTAATATGTCTTGTGACTTGCATCTTAAAGGGTGATATGTGTGTGGATATGGATTCAAAACCAAGACTCCAAATCAGCACCAGGAGAGTGACTGTGGCTAATCTCATTGTCCCCTACTAATGATTAATAATTTCGAATCCTTCCCTGATCTCTTCTAAGACTCAACACTTATATTGGATAAGTCTCTCTAGCTTCTCTTCCTAGCAACATGTTTTGACATTTGCTTGAAATGTCCTACATAGTAGTAATTTCCAAGGATGTGTTTTCTAGTTCTCTATTAATTTGTATGTCCCTTCTCACTTTTTAGTTTTAAGTAGGTTTAACTGTCTGTTTGTTGTCAAGTCTACTGTAGAATAAGATTCTGCCTTTTTTTTTTTCTCCTCAAGAAATGGACTGTATTCTATTAAAAAATGAGCATGTTCTCTGCAGCGTTCTTGGTTGACCCTGTTCTTGCAGGACAATGTGGCAGATATCACCTCTCTGACTTTCTGGTAAATGCTCCCCTCTTGTGTAATTCTGTGCAATATCAGAAATGCTTCTTCTAAACTCCACCTCTATCCTCTACTCATTTTTGACTTTCAAGTTCACTTAATTGTTTCATCAAACCAGTTTTTCTTCTTTTTCTTGTAGAAAAACTTTGAAAACATGAGGTTTCTCCACCTCTAAGTTGGTTCTTTTTTGCTTCCAGCACTTTTAAAAAGAAAAACCTGCCGATAAAGCGAGAACTGTGTTATTTTCCACTGTTCTGTGTAATTCTGTGTGCCTAATCCTACAGCCTTAGGCTTTCTCCCTCACGCCCAATCTTGCAGGATTGTTATTTTGTTGTTGTTGTTGTTGTTGTTGTTGTTGTTGTTGTTGTTGTTGTTGTTCTTATCCTAATAACTGACCAGGAGAAAGTTGACCATAATCTCTGCAATTCTGCAGTATTCCTATCTTCCTTGTCAAATTTATTATTGTTACTATTTTTTTCTTTGAGCTGCTCCAGAACAGTATGAAGATGATCCAGTTATTAATGAGGTGGCAAAACAGGAAGAATATGGTTACTGGTAGGCAAAAAAACACGTAATGGGAACAGCCGAGGGTTTGGAATTACATGCTGGATGTTGGCCAACACATTAAAACCTTTCGACTGAAACTTTTGGGCAGGAACCTTTTACATAGTACTAAAATGGCTAAATATCTGTAAATGTCGAGTGTAAGTATAGGGGTGACACAAGCTAATTATATAGTTTATACCTTAAATGCCTTGCTATTTTGCTGAGGCGATGCACTTGGTGTGCAGTGCCTATGCTGCAACTGTTGGTGTCTCCTGACGAATGGTGTAATCAAGTTGTCACCAAAATTCCTTGAGGGAGTGTGTCTGGATTCTGCAGTGCTGGGGAGCACGACTCTGCCACATTTTCTGCTTCAAAAAATTTCATGTTTTAGAATGGAATTGTGTGCGTCTGCTAGAGAAGCAGAAATGCTTTGATTTTATTTGGTATTGCCAGCCCCGCTGAGTATGGACTTACATTCACAAGAATATCTGCCTAAAACCCAGGCTGTTGTAGAAAGTGCTTTAGCTTCTCATAGCTATGTTTGGTTGGCTTTCGAATACAGAATCCTGAGGACACCTTCAAAACCAGTTTTCTGGAGGACAAGCTGCAGTTTTTGCTTTTCCCAGTGCCCTGCTTGTGCCTAGCAGAAGGGCAAACACCAAAATGCCCTAGTGAAAGGAAGGAAACAAAAGGCAAGAATGGGGAAGAAATCTGCTTTTTCTCTTTCTTCTTGTGCCTAAGGGTGGGTTTTTATCTTGCATGCTAACACACCTGTAAAGGCTGTGTGTGCAGTGAAATAGCAAGGAGCTCCAGACTGAATAAGAACACCCTGGTTCTAAGTTACATGTAGAATGCATATGTATTAAGGTACCTATCTTGAGGGAGGAAATGGAGTAAAAGGCTTCTGTTGATCACAGCAGAGAGCTTCATGGGAGTGCAGTAAAAAATAATGATCTAAACCATTCAAGAGTCTTCAGGGGATTTATCTAATGTGGAGTAGCTGAGACAGCGGTTGGACTCTGAGTGTAAGGGGGGGAAGTTGCTTGCTTGATTTAGTCTGTGGCTTTCCCAGCTTCTTCATCCTGTGCTCCAAATCCTGTTAATGTGTTAAAGTTTCCATGAGATAACATCATGGCTTATGTCCATAACATTTCTTAATGCGATGAGCTGAATGAAATCAAGGTGATCTGTAGGGATCCTGCGTAGGAGGTGCTGGAGGGCTTGGAAACCTAGGGGCAAGATGAAGGGCGCAGGAGAAGAGCTGCCTTCCTCTATTTTCAATGGCTGGATTGTAAATGATGCTATATGTAAGAGTAGATACTCACTTTGTGTAGTAGCACCTATGAGTGCAGGAATATGAGAGGGATGAGTTAATACGGAACAGGGACATACTCCAACAAGTCTACTTCCTTTCAAATTCAGGGATTTTGAGTGAAGAAACATTTAGATTTGTCACTGCAAAAAGTAGTAGTTTGAGGCACTGGGTAAAGGATAGTTGAGGGTAGTCAAGTGTGATGAACATGACAGACATGATGGCCTGCAGTGCCCTGGGGCTATGTTGAGAGGTGCTGTCGGTTCTGTGTCTCTGGATGCAGCTCTAGAATGAAGGAATGACAAAACTGATATTGTAGAAGCGGTAGGATGATTTCTGTGCATGATGCAGACAGTAAAGAGCCTCCTGGTGGATCTGTTTTTGATATCATGCTCTCAATTTGTATATCGCTATTGAGGTATCCTTTAAATTCTACCAGGTTCCAGTGGTCCATGAAGAACTGCATTCCAGCCCGGGGACATACTCAGACACGGCTCTTTCAGTGCTGTTCTCTTGTGCTTTCTGCTCCTTAGGGTGAGAAGGATGAATAAGAAGCTCACAGGACTTGCATAGTGAAAATTCCCATGTAGGCATGGCCTCCTTAGTAGATTTCAGCTTCTAAGTAGAGTCTGACTTCTACACTGTAATCAAAAAACATACTGTATATTTATATTTTTTCTTTTTCATTTTTGCTTTAGGTTATCTTTGATTTAGATCTGTCATTTATATCATGCTTCACATGCTGGATCCACATACTTATCTGCTCCCTTCTTCCTGAATTGTGCCCTCTTGTGAACTACCTGCTCTATGGTAGTCAGCTGTGCCCCAGCCAGAACGCAGTTGCTTTTGATTTTGCCCAGGAGCAGGGGAGATACTTGCACTGAGAGGTTTTACTGTGGTGATATGAAAAATGATCCATTGCTTCACGTGGAATAGTATTCTACTGCAGGGAGAATGTGAGCACTTACATGAACAAAACTGATGGGATGCGGTGATCCTTGGGCTGTAAGGGATGAGAAGTGAGATCTTTCAGCAGCTGTCAGGTATCTGTGAGAATGATTTTCCTCATGTCTGGCAGTCGAAGTTTATAGGTTGCAATTATCACTGACAGCTGAAATCTGCAACAATCTCATCATTTCTTCCTTTTGGGAACACTACTGAATATTTTTATAGGTCTATAAAGATCTGTTAGTCTATAGACCTTCAAGCATCATCCAAAGGTTCTATATAAAGATCAGAAGTTTTATTAAAAGATATTTTGGTTCTTTATGACCTGTCATAGAATCATATAATCATTAAGGTTGGAAGGGACGTTTAGAGATGATCTAGTCCAACCCCCTTGCACATGCAGGGTCACCTAGAGCAAGTTACACAGGGCTGCGTGCAAGCGGGTTTTGAAGATCTCCAGAGAAGGAGACTCCACAACCTCTCTGGGCAGCCTGTTCCAGTGCTCTGTCACCCTCACTGTCAAGAAACTTTTCCTTAAATTCCTGTGGAACTTTTGGTGCTTCATTTTGTGGCCATTTCCTCTAGTTCTGTCTGTGGCCACCACTGAAAAGAGGCCGGCACCATCCTCCTCCCTCCCTCGAGTTACTTACAGACACTGCTCAGGTCCCTTCTCAGCCTTCTCTTCTCCAGGCTGAACAGGCCCACCTCCCTCAGCCTCTCCTCATAGGGCAGATGTTCCAGGCCCCTGATCATCCTTGTAGCCCTGTGTTGGACTCTCTCCAGCAGCTCCACATCCCTCTTGTACTGGGGAGCCCAGAACTGGACACAGTTCTCCAGATGTTGCCTCACCAGGGCTGAGTAGAGGGGCAGGCTCACCTCCCTCGACCTCGTGGAGATGCTCTTCTTAACACACCCCAGGATGGCATTGGCCTTTTTGGCCACAAGGGCACACTGCTGCCTCATGGTCACCTTGTCGTCCACCATGACACCCAGGTCTTTCTCTGCAGAGCTGCTCTCCAGAAGGTCGGTCCCCAGCCTGTACTGATGTCTGTGGTTATTCTGGGGCCATAAAAAATAAAAGTACCTTAATTTATTAGAGTTTTGGCCTGAAAAAATGTAGGTGAAACTGGTTGAATACGTGTTTGTCTGACAGACCAAGAGGTTTGGAAAGGCAGGGAGGGCTGGTCTTCAAGGCAATGCCAACATCTTCCTGAGAGTAAGAAACTCTGAAGGGGAGTTTTGGAGGGTGGTTCAAGTTCTGGCATGGCTCTCGTGCCTCCAGCTGCCCAGTTAAAGATAGGAAATGGTCCAAACGGCAAGTTGAGCAAGCATTCTACTTGTGTAGTCCTATTGCCAGTAGGACAGTGTTAGGTGGCCAGTGACATTTGATTTTTGGCTAGACAGGAAGGGTGGCCTCTTCATATTTTATTGTATTGCCATGCAGTGTGAAGGTCAATGTTGGAGAGTGCATGCATGAGCATATAATAATTGTTGAAGGTAAAGCATATTTAGCTGCTCAGCTGCATAGGTAACAGTTGCGTTGAGTTTTGGGGAAGCTGTTTGCATGTGCCTTTTCCTGCTGGAATAGCACTCTCGTGTTTAATCTCCTAGGATAATGCGGGAGCAGCCCAGTGTCGTTCTGGGGGTGGCCCACACTGTTGTAAAGCGAATGTCCTCGTTCGTCAGGCAGATTGACTTTGCCCTGGATTGGATGGAGGTTGAGGCTGGACGAGCCGTTTACAGGTGAGACGTAGACAAAATTCTCTGTTGAAAACATATGCTTTTAAAGCTAAGAATTGTGCTGCTTTTTGTGACAGGTGGAGTATAGCACTTCCTAGGCAGAATATACCAACCATTCCGTAGGGCTTCTCTGTCTACCTATTAAAGATTTTTCTGCAGTACCTTTCAACATCTCTTTAGTCTCTTGCCTACAGGTGGCATAAAAATTCTATTCCTCATACTGTACATTGTCTTGGTAAGCTTTTAAAGTTGCAGAAGTGGTAATTAAGAGACCAAACAGTTTTATGTTTCTGCATTACCAAGAGCATGAAGATTATTGTTCAAGGAGCTTTTCAGCTTTTATAAAATAAAAGGAAAAGCAAAACTGAAAGTAAATTCAACTGGACTTGTTCAGCAGTAACTTGCAAATGTGCACTGTTATCCTTGGTTATCTTTAAGTTCAAAGTATACTTGAACTTAGTTTTATGGACTTGGTACTAGGATGCATTTGAGTTATGATATTGTTGCAATCATGAGAGAGAAAAAGGTCTAATTTAGTACGCGTGCCATATAATAATTTTAGGGTGTGGTGTGTTTTTTAACTACTACTGCAGTTCTAATGGGAATCTTGGATTGTTTTGCACTAAAAAAGTCATGGTTGTTAAGTTCTTGTCAGCATCTTTTGGGATTCCTCATGCTAAGATTAACTCTAGGATCAGAGGGATTGCACTTGGTCTGTGTGCTGTGTTCCACTGGAAATCTGCATGCCAACCAGCACTATCATGCGGACTTTATATGGCAAAAACTTCCATTCAAGCTTAAGTTGTACACAGGAAAGGAATCCAGATCTTGAGCCACTTAGTGTGTTTTTTTTCTGTTCAGCCTGCAGAATTTTTCTACACTCCCATTTCAATCTTGCAGTGATAAAAGCTCCTGCTCTAAATAGTAACAAGCCTCTCTAGAAGATATTTACATTCTGGTCATCAGCTTCCACACCTAACACTAACCACTCGTTTAGCGTTCATACATTTAAAGATTAAATGTAATTCCAAGTTCCTTATTAACTGAAGCCTATTCAATTTCTTATTTGCATGTAATGTTTAACTCTTGATTAAACACTGCACTGTGGACTTTAAGAAAATAAGGAGAAGATGATGAACTTACTAAATGATTCGGGATGCATTTGCTGAGCAAAGATGCTTTATTAATGCTCATTATTGATGGCCCTTTCTGCAGGCAGGGTGATAAGTCAGACTGCACCTACATTGTGTTGAATGGTCGACTTCGCTCTGTCATACGGATGGATGATGGAAAAAAGCACCTGACTGGTGAATATGGCCGAGGAGACTTAATCGGAGTGGTAAGAGCAAATTTCACAACCTAAATATTCAGCTTAGAAGTTGACATTGGTTCCACACTGAATACTCAAAATGAGATTGTGAGATCCCTCTCTGATCAGGTGTAAGTCTTAGGGTAAGGACTTTCACAAGTTTAAAAGCTGTAAAGCCACTTTTAGCTGGGAACTTTAATAATAATGTGTGTAATGGATTATTAGAGTCTTTTCTGAGGAGAGGGGAAAAAAAGGCGGGTAGAGGTGGGGGGGTGGGAAACCCTCACACAATTAAACCAAAAAACCCAGTACAGTGTTCGTGTGTGTATGTTTTCTTCCTCCTTTTCTTTTGAGACATATAACCTGTACTGTGGCCTAAGTAGTGCTTTGAAGAGGTTTCGAAACACAGATTGTGTTTAGTCGATTGAGTTTAGCCTCTGTAGGCTCCTAGTCTGACTTGCTGCTCAAAGCAGAGCTAACCTGAAAGCAACATCTGGTTGCTTGGCAATTGTGCAGTTGACCTCATAAAAAATATTAGAGCAGCTCTTTATTTCAAATTGTAGTGTCTATCAGTGTTTAGTCTCTCCTATTGATTTTCTCACTTCTTAGACCTATTCGAACAACTGAAATTACAATTCTCTGTGATAAGCACGGGTGGTTTGTGTGGCTTTTATGTTTGAAATTAGAAGGCTTCTGAAATGCTGAGATTATTGTTCAGGCCCCTTTTTTCTTTCCAAGCTGCAAAGTAAATATTTAATGCATATCTTTTTATACACAGAAATTGTGTACCTCTGAATAAAGAAAGCACGACAGTTGGTATTAGTGGTACAGAATGAAATTCATCTTACAGAGAGACTAAGTAGAGAAAGGCGAAGTGCATGGCTAGAGAGCTGATTTGGGACTGGAAGCCTGCCAAAGGTGTTATTTGAGTGGCACGATCAGAAACTGAGCACTACTGATGCATAAGAAATTCTACAGCTTGCCCTCTCTGCATGGCCTGACCTCTTTCTCCCTCTGCAATAAGTAGTGCCACTTTTTGGTGTAACCTTCCACACTGGCTCAACTGTTATATGGCGAGAAGTGAGAGGTTGATTCCCTGGATAGGCTGGGATGTGTTTGCTGCAGTGGTACCAGGTTGGCTCGTAAGTTCCTGGGTACGGATACAAAAATATCGATTAAACTTTGTGTAAGCTATAAGTTACTTTTCTGGATCCATGTTATGACATGAATCATTTCAAGATTTTTGTGACTCTGCGGATGTCATCTATTCCTTCCTACCTGCAGCTCCCAGAGCCACTGACTCATGCTGCCATTTGTTGAACGAAACTTAATGGTCTGGCTGTCTTCCGAAAACATGGGGGAGGTTTTGTAAAGATTGCCAAGATTACTGTAACCATTCTTTACAGAGGGCATTAGTAAAATGACATTTTTCCTTTTAAAAAGATTTGTTTATTCTCATTGTGTAACATCTGTTATAAAATTTCAAAAGCCTGCTATAGTTTTGTTCCAGAAAGCAAAGTAAGTGGAGGTTTCTAGATGCTCGTGAGAACAAATTTATGGATAGTTTGGCCAAGCAGCGACACTCTCTTCAACCTCCTTCCAAAACCTCCTATGTTATTCTGCACTGACAACCCTAACTAAATATAAGAATTTGTAGTTAATCTATTTCTGTTTATTGTCTTTGTCTCAGTACTTTTAAAATGCTAGATATCATATGTGCAGGAGATGACTATCTGTCATCTCTGCTTTTGGAAGAGAAGTCCCGCATCATAAAGGATTTCAGGAGGCTTCATTAGCTTTTAAACCTATATGTGTGTTCCCAAGCCTAAGCTTATGGTTCAAACTGTTTTGTTCCTTAAACTGACTCATTGGCATCTGTTTCAGAGGTCTGTCAGTTCAGTGAGAGAAGAACAAATTAGAAACCCGAAAGTTTGCCTGCCTGGTGGTATTCTTGGAAAAGCCACCAAGCTCTAGGTATGCACACGTGGCACAGGGTGGCATCCAAGTGGGTTTTGAAGATCTCCAGAGAAGGAGACTTCACAGCCTCTCTGGGAAGCCTGTTCCAGGGCTCTGCCATCCTCACAGGAAAGAAATTCTTCCTCACATGGAGGTGGAACTGCCCGGGTTTCCACTTACACCCGTTACCCCTCCTCCTGTCACCTGCCACCACAGAGAAGAGTCTGGCCCCATTCTCCCTACATTCACCCCTCAGGTATTTGAACACATTGATCAAATCTTCTCTCAACCTTCTTTTTTCCAGACTGAACAGGCCCAGCTCATCGTATGAGTATTTCCTCATATGACAAATGCTCCAGTCCCTTAATCATCTTCATGGCTCTCTGCTGGACCCTCTCTAGAAGCTTAATATCCTTCTTGTACTGGGGAGCCCAGAACTGCGCCCAATACTCCAGGTGTGGCCTCACCAGAGCTGAGTAGAGGGGGAGGATCCCCTCCCTTGACCTTCTGGCAACGCTCGTGCTGTAGGTGACCCTGCATGTGCAGGGGCGTTGGACTAGATGATCTCTAGAGGTCCCTTCCAACCTTAACCATTCAGGGATTCTGTGTGAAAATGAATCTACTTGCCGAAAGCCTTTCTGGAGGGATGCTGCTGCTGCTGACCCTACGGACGGGCAGTGCTAGTCGTTGTATCGGTGGTTTTTAAGACTTCTCTGTGGGCCTTCCGTGTATTTTATTTACATACAGTGATGCCATTAAGTAATTCCCTCCCACTTGAAATACAGCTGACAATAGCATTATTGCCCATAGACTATAATTTACCCGTTTTGGATAAAATCTTTTAATTTGCTGGTGTCATTTTCCACCAATGTGCTTATGAACATTGCACCTTGTTTTTCACCACTTTATATTCTTATGTGACATAAGAAGTTGAGAGCTAGCCTCATTCCCACCACATGCAAAAATCCCCCTGAGGAAATAACAAATGTGTTGATAAAATGGATTCTCTTTGTTGTTGAAAATACTATACTAGCTGCTCTTTATTTTTCTTCAAGTTGTTGTTGGCCCAGACTTTGACACTTAGGGTCATCCTTAGCACAGCTGATGAAGCTGGGGAGCAAAGCAGGTTCTTCCAGACGGGAAGCATCCAGATGGGATGCTCTTGCAGAAAGATGTTCTACCAAAAAGCTCCTTACAAGCTACCCCCTTCCCTCAGATGTCTGGATGGAGTAGAACCTTCTTGGTTACTGGATTTTTTTTATTTCGGTCAAGCCTGAGATTGTCTTAAGAGGCTTCCTGAGCTAAGGTTGCAGTGATTGAGACTAATTAATACCTTGCAGTTCTTAGGGGAGTCAGTGACATTACTTTTAAAAGCTATTAGGTTTATTTAGTTTAGAATTGGACTTACTTGTGGCTACTGGCTTCAGAAAATCGTTGCCCGCAATGTCTTACTGGCAAAGCAATTGGCTTTCAAAAATGCCTGATTGGCAAAATTGCAAAAATGCTTTGGTTCCTTGAGGATCCTTTTTATTGAACTGGAATGCCTCTTATTAATAGGGCTTAATACCTAGTCATTTTTGGAAACTGCATAGCAAAATGGGTGCAGAAAAGCATTTGTACAATAGCCCTCTGTTCCAATGCATGGCAGCACAAGCGCCAAGTTAAGGGGGGAAAAAACACCCTGATAGGGCCAGCACTGCAGCAGACAGCTTCTGCTGTGCAAGAAATCAAACTGTAATGGATATTATGCATAGTTTGAGTCATTAAGCTATTCATCTCGTTAATGTTAACATGATTAAATGTGCATGGCTTTTTTTTCCCTCTCTGAAAATGTGAAGACCAAGAGTAATCTGTAAATGGCTTCGAATTTCTTAGGGGGTTCAGAGCGTTGTCCTTCTGAAACGTAATACGGACTCTCAGAAAACCTTTAATGGTCAAAGAAGCCTCAAAGGCAACATTAGTATCAGGGTAATAGCCATCAGGCTTTTGCTTTCTATCAGTGCTAGTGTTATCATAAACCTCTTCTGAAAGTAGCAGTATCGCTGCTCCTGCCAACATCACAAAAATGGGGCAAATTATATTCTGTAAAGGCTGGCTTACATCGTGGGGCACTTTTTTTCTTTCTTTTTTTTTTTTTTTTTTCTCTCAAAGCATTTTGACCTTTCTGCACATTATCTACATAGATTTTTTTTTCCCGAAGGCAAACTCTTCTGCTGATAAAGCTTCTAGTTGCTCAAAACTGCTTTCAGGTTAATTCAGGCTAGGCCACCTCTGAGCAGCCCCGTGTGTGCAGTTCTATCTGTGGAAAGATGAGGGGGAGGAGGTCCAAGAGCCTCCTTGGCGTGAGCAGGAGGCTGGAGAAGTGGTGCTGGAGGGAGGTGTTTCTCTCTCTGTTTCTCCTCAACCTGCCTCAGTAATGCATTGCTAAAAACTATTATTTGCTTAGCATCTTAGGTGTGAATCTGTAAACATGAGATGATGGTATTTAGCGGCTGAGAAGTGACATAGAGGGAGAGCTGAGAAAAAGCAGTGACATTTGCACAGCTGAGCTGGTGTTAGACTGAAACTAGGAACCCATGTCCTGGTTTCTAGGCCTGTGCTCCATGGTCGTGGCTGTGAGTCCTCGACTCTGGCTTTCTGTACCTCTGTTTCCTAGGGACCTCTTCACTCATGCCTCTGAGCTGTTGAACACTGCATGTTTTTCAAATTCCTTTGTGACAAGTATGGTTTGCCCCCAAATTTTACTAGGTGATAAAAGCAAAATAACATTTGTAAATGAGAATTACTGTCCTGTAGGTTAGAAGTTTTGTTGCTGGCTAGCAAAACCACAAATGTCAGTTTTAATAAGTTCTCATATTAATTTCTTTGGTGTTCATATTATGAAGTCACTTGGCTTTGTTTGCCACATGGAAAACAGCAGAGAGATTTATCTCCTTAGCCAAATGCACTTTGGGGAGTACTAGGATCTTTGGCTCGTGATAGAAACTGTGACCTGCTGAGTTTCAGATGGGTGATTTCTGTCAACATGTTCCTTAAACTGTTTTGTCTCCCTCCTTCCAGCTAAATTTCCTGCT